AGATCTACGGGAGTGAGCTTCGTCTTCGACAGATTATGTGAGTTTCGCTCACAACGGTCTGAAGTTTTGGTGGTTTGCCGGCTGGAGCTGGACGTTCGCCGGCTGGTTTTAGATCTGCAGAGGAAGAAGAACGGTGGCGAGGTCTTGATCATTAACTTGGGATCGGTGTCAGGGGAGGCCGGAGTCTGAGCCGCCGGCCAGTTCTAGGTCGCCGGTTTTGGATTGATGGGGCTAAGTAGAATTGTGTTGACCCAAAAGAAGAAAATTGGCTATAAGCAAAAAATGAAATTCGAAAAGGTCAAAATTTTTAAATAATATCTATTTTTATTGTTGTTTTTCATCTGTATTATCTTATTGAAATTACTGAATATATTCATTTTCGAGATCTAGTCTATGTTTTGCTAAGTTGGACGTCCAACTCTCGTAGGAGATGTGACCAAATTAGATTCTTCCTCACAAAACTCTTTCTTTGAAGAAGGTAAATGATTTATACAATTCATTATAATCCTTAATTTAATTTTTATATATCTTTATAATATCGTTATAATCATTATTTATTTTTTTGAAGTGATTGATTATTTTTCTAGATTTGGGGAATGCATAGTTAATTAAAGCTATGATAAGTCACTGCCATATCTATTACTGGATCAACCCACTTGGGATCTTTATGATCTTTCATCACAGTGGTTGCACCTAAGATGTGCTTTTTTCCCCTTGATTTTACATTTTTAATCAATAACTTTTTTGATTCTTTAACCACTCCTCGATGGCTCAAATTCATTCACTATTTTGTTTAATTTGCTTGAGAAAGCGATATGTTTAGGACCAGTTTGAAGTCTTGAATCTCTTAGCATCTATATGTTAAAAATAATCTTTCTTCTAAATAAATTTCATTAACTAGAAACATGCAAGTAGAAACAAGGCTTCATTCATGCTTGTTTTTTTGGCTAATTTAGTTCATTTAGAAGGCTTGTCAAATCAAATACAGACATGATACATTCTTTCTTCCTTTAGAAACCTTATGTTTGAAGACTACTGGATTCAAGATCTTTTATCCATGATATACATAGGTACCTAAAGGATTATTTAGGATATTTATATTACGTGGTTCAGGTCCTGAACATACAGGGTTTTACTCAAAAAATGTTAATTATGTTTGAAGTGGCAAAATAATTGTTAAATAAGAGCAACTCCAACGCGCATTGTAAAACTGAGTAAAGTTTAGAAAATGAAGGGTTTAGCATTTATTGTGCATAATTTTGAGCTTTAACCGGTAGGGCATAAAATAGAAGGAAATGTATTTTCCATCTCTCGTCTTCGAAATATAAATGCTCTTGTAGATAGTGGAAATTGCGTTCTCTCGATCGCGACTATTTCTCCGCTTCACCAATCGCCAATTGCCGATGTCAATTTGCTTATTCTTCTTTGTTTTTCATCTCCTTGAAAACTATGGAGATTTTTTGGCAATTATGGATATGCAATTTTAAGGTATGGATCTACAGATCTTCTCCTTCACTACATCTTGAGTTTTGCGATTCAACTATGGATCTTCTCATTAATTAGTACATCAACTTTGCGACTACCAGTCTATGCGGGTGGCGGTGGTGGTTTAGGGCGGCATAGTTGAATTTGCATAAGATATGATTTTTTTTATTTTGTAAGGTGTGAATGTTTCCAAGACGAAGGAATGAAGTTGGAAGTTAAAAATAGATGATATGGTTGGAGTAAATGTCAAAAAAAGAGTTGTTAAAACACTGTTCAAGAGCTAAAATCAGATTTAGATGACAAAAATATAAAAGATCGGCTGGAGCAGAATCATCGAGCGGCTGCTCATCATCCGTGCTAATGCAAATGCCTCGGCCAATGTTCCCGGATTACGGAGATTAAGTCACGTTGAAGAGGTTGTTTGAGGTCACCTTTATACATAGAAATGAGGGTAGATTCCGGAATTCCAGATACTTTATTAAGCAAGCCTTCAAACGCCGTTTGATAGGCCATAACGGAAGTCTGTTGTTGCAACCGAGAAAGAAGACTTACATAATCAGCATAATGATCGGGATCAAATCGTTGTTTCACCGCTTGCAAGAATTCCACCCATGTGCCGCCACAGGAATTGGTAAGGTAGTAACGGAACCATTCGGACGCCGGGTGATCAATAAACATACCAACCAACTGAAGGCGTTCAGACTCTGCCGTCGAGAAATAATCAAAATATTGCTGAATGCGAAATATCCAGTCCACCAGATCCTCTCCGTTGAAACGTGGAGGGTCGATGCGCAAACGCGGCTGCCGGTCAGACGAGTCATTATGACCCGCTGTGCACGACGGCAGAGGCTGCCACCGGCTTTCATGGGACGGAGTTTTCTGGCCAGATACTCCTGCATTGTCCCCGACGATTCGGTTCGCCAACGCATCCAAGCGTTTATTCATGTTATTAAGCTCCAGGCCAAGGTTTTGAATGGCTTGCATAATCGTGGTTAACGGCAAAGGAGTCTCGGAGTTCTTGCCGGCATCGGCACTCATGGTGATTGATTGTGAGTGAGGTCAAAGATGGAAGCATCACTGTTACTCCACTGGTAATGAACGGCAGAGGAGGGAAAGGGGTTTAACTGATGAGGGAAGAGCAAGAGAGGGAGAGGAAAAGGAAGGGAGTTGAGGGTTAATTCATTTCTCATATTCAATACTAAATTATCTCCTTATTTATAATAAAGAGGTATGCTAACCAGTGGCAGAGCCAAGAGCGCACTAGTGGGGGGGCACAATAGGGGGGTTCGGGGCAGCGTCTCGAAACTTTTTTTAAAAAATAATATGAAACGACAAAAAATAATTTAGATGTATTTAAATTGAGCAAAAACCTTTGTTTTATGGAACATAAAACCAAAATAAATGAGAAAATGGATATTAAATGCGTAGCACTCCCTAATAATCTCTCTAAGTCTCGAAAAAGAAAGTAAAGAACAATATTAAGAATTCCTAATACTCCGTAACATAATAAAATAACAAATTAACAATATCAATTATAAATCATTAATTAAACACAAAAATTTATTGCAAATTTTAAAAATGACGAACTTAATAATCATCTCTCCCAAAACCAAACAAAACACAGAATCAAAATTACTTAAACAAATATGGAGTATTCAATAATCAAAACATAAAAGTAAAAGTAATTAACAAAAAACATTAAAATCTAAGGTTATATATATACTGGGCCCATCTGGAATCAGCAGCCTCCGTGTTTTTTTGTTCAATCCTCATCCTCTCAAGTGTCATCTCCGTTTTTTTTAATTTTTTGGGCATTTGGAGATATGGGTTACTGGGCCGTGAATTGTTAGGCTGGGTCAAATGGACTTTTTTAAACCCATTCACTAAAACGACGTAGTTTCGTTTTGTAATTTTTTCTTCCGCACCAGTTCATCTTCTTCGCTGGACTCTTCCCGTCTGCAGCGCTGTGACTGATCTGGGGGGCAACTCTGCCTCCCATCGCCGCGGGTTCGTGCCATAAGTCTATTTCGCCGGATCACCGGGGGCACTTGCCCCGGCATGCCCCCCCTCTCCTCCGCCCCTGATGCTAACCCTAACACAACTCAAGTATCTAACCGGTCGGTTCAATAAAGGCGTCAAGAAAAAGAACCGAAAAAAAATTGAAGGAGCTTATATTACGCTCTCCTAAGAAAATCTAATTTGCAATAATAAATCAACCAAAACATCAAACGAAGTCATCAAAACGGCTAGGACACCTCCTCGTCCTTTTTGGTCGTGCGCCCCGAGTTAGTGTCTGCGTAGCATCTGTAACAAATACTCTCTACATTCTATAAGAAAACTTTAAACTTTTTGTCACTTTACTTTTTTCTTTTCATATGTCCCAAAAACTTCATATTTTAGAAATGAATGAGTGACTCATAGATCTTAGCTTATTTCTTTTCTAAATAAATTCAAACTATAAAATTTTTATTTTTCAATGTTTTTTTAAAACTATGTGAATGTCAAGCAAGGATTTATTTTCCTAGATGAATGGAGTGTATTTTTCAAATTAATATTTTTAAAAAAATGAAAAATTAAAATTTGATAATTTTATTGTAAATATTAAATTTAATAGATTTGTCTATTTTGTTTATTCACCTTATTATGAATTAATGATTATCATTTCATAAATATGTGTAGGTTTGACATATATTATGTTAATATTTATAAACATGCATATAATAAGATGTATTTAAAAATAGAAAATGTTTAAAATACGTACATATTCGTATCCGTATAGTATGCTGAACGCTTAATATGCATAGTAACACATATTCTATAAAATCATAATGTTTTATGTACGTACGTACGTAGTGACGTATTATATGTTTGCCGTGTATTACTAACTAGGCCCCTAAGTGTACTCTTCATTTGTTGAGGAATTAATGAAAGTATTTTTGTGGTTTAAAACAAATCAAAAGGAAGCTTTGTTGATTCTAATTAAAGAGAAGTAGATGAGGAAGAAGAGAAAAAAATATTCCGCATGGAAGAATGAAAGAGAGATAAGGAAGAAGACCAATGAGAGAAAATATGAAATAAAAGAAAATTATAGAAGTGAAAAAAAGCTTTTATATATATATGGGGGCAAGTATTGGGTAGTGTAGTAGTGCTGGTGGGCGTGTAGCACGACCCTAGCTAATTCGTTTATGTCGGTTCAAAATTGCTACGGTCCATAATATGGATGTTTTAATGCTTCGCAGAGATGATTATCGCCTGTGCATAATATGGGTCCACCCATGTGGTGGCACCCTACCATGACCATATGCTCGTTAGACAATGTGTAATGCTCCACACCAACTTGTGTCAGAGGCGGACCCACCTTGAGTCCTATGGGGTGCCGGGACCCCACGGACCTCAGTGTAGGTCCTTATAGGTATTAGGTTTGTGAAAGTATTAATATGTAAACAACGCATAGCTCCCAGTCTTCACAATTGTGTTTGGTGTAGTGGTAGTGTGCGGAGCATTGAAACCAGAATGTCCGTGTTCGATTCTCATCCGGTCTTCTGGATTCAGTTTTTTCTTTTTCTTATCTTCTCTGCCTCTATTTTCTTTGCAAAACGTGTATCTTATCCGTCTCTATTTTCTTTGCAAAACCAATCATTTCCTCACCCCTAATTTCTTTGCAAAATTGACCTCTCTTCCCCAATTCTCTATTTTGAATTTTTGATTTTGAACCCTAACTTCTACGATTCTCCGTCTCTCTTTCTCGTCGCTCGCCGGCCTCTGTTCTCCGTTCTACCAAAATTCGACCGCACTCCACAGCGACAGTCCCGACAGGTAATTAGTCTAAAAAACTTTTTTTATTTTACTAAAATTAGTTTTTATGGTAGCTTGAAGTTTGATATATTATTAGTAATATATAAATACATAATAATTTATATATTTATTTTTATTCATTACTTATTAATTAAAGAATCAAAGTTTCTTCTTCAATAAAAAATTGATTTAGGATTGCAAGTGATAAGTATTATTGTATTAATGTTTATTTTATGTCTAATTTATGTAATAATATTAATTTTTTATTTACAGAATTTAAAATGCAAAGGTACTTCAAAGCTACCCAAGTTCAAAGATTTCGAGTCGAGTGAAATTGGTAATAGTGTTAGTGCTCCGGTATCTCAAGTACAATGGTAAACGATATTATTTTTGTACGACTTTATTTCTATGTATTAATTATGGTACTTTACAAATATTAATTTTTGTTTATTGTTAAATGTTAAGACTGATGAAATAGTTTGAGATGAGAATGAGAGGTAGTCAGGTAGGGGACCCCATGGTTGTAAAATTCTGGATCCGCCTCTGCTTGTGTGTGATCCTACATGGTGTCCGTCACCGTGGAGTGACTGCCCATGAACACCACCCCTCTTAGATTGTGAATGATTGCGTGAGTTACCACCGTGCGCAAACTCACGAAATACGGTGGAGTATATATTTTTTTATTTTCTTTCATTTAAATTTTTGTTACAAATATTTATTTTATTTATAACTTTTTACATATAAACTAGTACTTGACAAAAAATATATCATTCGAAATATATTTATGAGATATATTCAATGATATCAATATTGTATAATAATTTTGATGTTATGTCTTACTTATATTTTCAACCAAACACTTTGGAATTGAACAAACTATGTGTTAAATACCTTTAAAAAATTTTGTTAGTGGGTGTTGCACAGTTAGCATGACAACAATGTCAAGAGCCAAGTTCAATTCATGAAAATTGAGTTAGGAGACAAATATGCTAAAGAATTCGAGTGCTTCTGTGATGCACCTTGGTTGCATACCATTTTTGGAGACATTCTCCAAATTTTTATTATCTTTTTATTAAAAAAACATACGCTTATTTAAATAAAAAATACTTATTTTTCATACTTTAGATCCACTATTTGCCGACAAATAGAATTTGGCAAAGAGGTATGAATAAGGAGTACATATACCCCAACACAAAATAGGGGTACATCCCCGTGGTGTACAAAATGAGGTATAAATTATTTGGGTACAAATAATTTTATCCTCTCAAGAAATTTGTGTCAGGATTTGAGTGGAATGCGGTTCATAGTCTTTTTTTCTTAAATGAGCAATGCTAGGGGTATACCTTTGGTGCACCAAGGTGTACCCCTAGCATTTTTGTTTTTAAATACCTTTAAAACCTTCCCATGCTTTAAAACCCAATTACCCATCAAGCCCCACTCATAGTCATACATTTTTTACTTCCTCATCGCATCTATTCTCCAATTCCCCAAATCTTCCATTTTCATCTCCAACATCATTCTTATCCCAAATATGTGCATATCAGTGTTGCACAGTTAGCATGACAACAATGTCAAGAGCCAAGTTCAATTCATGAAAATTGAGTTAGGAGACAAATATGCTAAAGAATTCGAGTGCTTCTGTGATGCACCTTCGTCGCATACCATTTTTGGAGACATTCTCCAAATTTTTATTATCTTTTTATTAAAAAAACATACGCTTATTTAAATAAAAAATACTTATTTTTCAGACTTTAGATCCACTATTTGCTGACAAATAGAATTTAGCAAAGAATTTACCTCATCTTAATAAGGAGCATGCTACATATACTCCAATAACACAAAATAGGGGTACATCCCCGTGGTGTACAAAATGAGGTATAAATTATTTGGGTACAAATAATTTTATCCTCTCAAGAAATTTGTGTCAGGGTTTGAGTGGAATGCGGTTCATAGTCTTTTTTT